AATATTTAATAACACTCCAAATAATCTCGAAATAACCTTTGGAAAAAAAATTAAGAAATTTACATTGAATTAACCTGAAATAATTCTTTTTTTTTAATATTTCGATTTAAATCGTTCTCCCAATTCCCTAGTACTGTACGTGGTGTAACGATATCTTCAAACGACTTAACAAAAAGTCCCCAGGTTCTTTTTTTTTCGAGAAAAGAAAAAGAAAGGACCAGAAAAAGGAACCAAGCGAGAGAAAAAAGGGGAAACGTAAAAAGGGCGACAAGTTAAATTTGCCCATTCTCCCCAAACCCGCCCCCCCCTACACACCCCTAAACCCTTTCCCGTTTTTTTTTTTGCCGCGTTTTTTTCCACCCGCGGAAAGGGTCCGCCATCAAAAATGACGGGCTTGTTTTCCAAAAAAGCAACGAGTTTGTTGGGAAAGCGGTGAGTGGAGGGAGGGGGCGAGTGGGCCTTTTTATCAAAGCCCCCGTCCCAAAACAAGCCGAGTTTCTGCAAGGCGGTTGCCTTTGAACTGTGAGACCCCGGTTCTTCTACCTTGAACCTGGTCAGCGCGCAGCGAGGTCCACCGGCTTTCGTGGTTTGTGTTCCGTTCAGGAAAAACAAACAGCCGTTTTAAAAAAAAGTAGTTTTTTCTTAGCAAACATTTCCAACTGAGTAAACTGCCGATGTCTTTACACAACGCTCAAATGATTAGCCCTCAAATATTGTTTAATTACACTTTTTTAGGAATCAATACCACTTGTTGGCTTTTAGTTCCGCCCTAGAAAAAGGGGTACAATTGTTTGTTTTTGGCAATTTTTGTTTACTTTTAGGAAAAGAATTGTGTAAGTTACTTTTTACAGACTTGTTTTTTGGCAAAAAACCTAAGAAAACGCTTTTTAACTAAAATAAATTTAGGTTTTAAAAACTAAAAGAGCTTTTTAACAAAAAAAAAAAGTTAACACCAAAGTTGAAAAAAGAATTGTTTTTTTTTTTGGAAAGTTTTTATGTTTTGAGTTATTTTTTAATTTTAAACTTTTTTGTCCACTTTACCGAGAAATTTCTTTTGAAATTTTTTTTTTTTGAAACCCCGTTTTTTTGTTTTAACAAATAACCCAGTTACGGCAATTTGTCCCTGTTTTTTCTGCCCCGGAAGAATCTAGGGGGGAAAGCCATCCAAACAGCTTGGCCCGCCTTGTAAAAAAATTTTACTCCCGCCCTCCCATCCTGAATACAGGAGGGAGCCTCATTAGTTTTTGCGAGTGTGGCCTACAAGAACCCGGAGTTTTTTCAACTTCCCCGTTCACACAGAGGGGTTCTAGGGGTCAAGGGAAAAGTTTGGTTTTTTGGGGGAATTCGAGCAGGCCCAAATGTTCCAACCAAAGTTTTTTTTTTTTTTCAAAAGAAAAAAGGTGGGGTCTTTTTTGGTGGGTTTTTTTTTCATGTGAGTCTGGTTGGAAAAACAATCCTAAAGTCCTTGTTAGCTTCTTTTTTTTTAAGCCGTAAGTCGCCCATTTGTAAAGATTAGGATAAAAGGGATTCTTGTAAATGTTGTTGTTTTTTGTTTTTTTTTTGCCTTGGACATTAAAAGGCTGGGGGTTTAGGTTTTAGAAAACCGTTTTTTTGAGAAACCGGCTTCCCAGAGGATAACACTTTTGTTTTGTGTTTGTGTTTGTGGTTTGCAAAAATGCAAAAGTTGCTTCTTGGTTGTAACGCAAAATCCGCCATAAAAGCAAAGTGAAACTGTTAATCTTTTTGGTGAAGAGCGCTTGTTTTTTGGACCGCAAAAATCCATAAAGAAAAGAAAGAAAAATTCCCGATCTGTGGGAAGAGCCGTTTTTTGCGCTGTTAAAAAACAAGGCACAAACCAATTTTTTTAGCCGGACCCAGGCGTTTTTAAAAGTAAACCTGGAAAGCTTTGCGCCTTGTACCCTTTGCCCCTTTTTTGTCAGCCCTTTCCCCATCTTTGTGAATGTAAACTTGAAGTGCATCGTGCCCCCCCGTTTTCATTGGTTCACTGTGCGCGTGTTTCAAATTGTTTGGGTCCTGTTTTTGGAAACAAGGAGGGGCATATTTGTAAAAGGAAAGTGAACAGATTTTTTGTTTTTTTTTCCCGCTCCGAGCCTGGTTTTTCTTTTTTCCAAAAAATTAAACCCTAAACCCCACCCCCTTTTTTTTTGTAAGGTTAACTGGTTTGTAATCTATCCGTCGACAGAAAATTCCAGAGGTTTTTTTTGTTTTTTTTTTTTCATTTTCAACTTCCTTTTTTTTTTTTAAGCTTTGAAACATTTTTAAATACAAATGCAAAAGGTTTTTAAAAAAAAACATTTTTTAGCAGCTTTATTCCATACCTTAAAAAAAAAGTCAAGTTTTTTTTGTCCCGCTTTCCCCCTTTTGGGCCCAGAACCAAAAACAGATCCCCATCGTTTGTTTTTTAAGGCTTCCGCAGCCCTGGCGTCTCCCCAATTTAAGGCTTTTTTTTGCAAGTCCCTTGGCCCATGCGTCCCATTTGAAAGCCAGTTTTTGGGCCTACAGAAAGCTGGACTTTCAAAAGGGAACTTTTTGATTCAGGTGACTTTTTTGCCTGTTAAAGAAGGCCTNTAGATTTACATTGTTCAATGTTCCAAAATCACATTGGTTTCTCATACAGCATCTCTGTATAGTATGTGTATTCACTCTCTGTCCTAAACGGCTTGTTGGTCCAACAAGCCGTTTAGGACAGAGAGTGAATACACATACTATACAGAGATGCTGTATGAGAAACCAATGTGATTTTGGAACATTGAACAATGTAAATCTATTCTAGTAGACCTCAACAATGGAATTATGATCAGTAGAAATGGCCATGACATGGGACCTTTAAATAACATGCGTGCAATTTTTTACAGGCTTGTTTCCTGTGCTTGTTTATGTATCCATCTTGGTATGCATTACGAATGTGTGAAGACACATATAGCTCCTGATATGCTTATCCTAAGTCAATTTCAGAATACTGTTGTGTTAACAATGATGAAACATGCCTGAGGGATCCCTCAGGTCTCTGTCCTTGGTCCCCTCCTCTTCTCTCTGTACACAAACCCGCTCGGATCAGTCATTAGCCCTCATGGTTATTCATACCACTGCTACGCTGACGAAACCCAATTAATTCTGTCTTTTCCCCACTCAGAGACCCAGGTCGTCGCACGCATCTCTGCTTGTCTGTCAGTGGATTTCTGCTCACCACCTCAAGCTCAACCTTGACAAGACTGAACTGCTTTTCCTTCTGGGAAAAGATTGTCCCAATCTTGACCTAACAATCAACATCGGCCCCTCTGTTGTTTCCCCAACTCAGACTGTAAGGACTCTGGGTGTGACCCCAGATAACAAACTGTCCTTCACTGCAAACATCGCTGCTACAACCCGCTGCTGCAGATACACGCTTTACAACATCAGGAGGATACGTCCCCAGCTGACCCAGAAAGCGACGCAACTTCTGGTCCAGGCTCTCGTCATCTCACGCCTAGACTACTGAAACTCCCTCCTGGCTGGTCTAGCTGCATGTGCCACCCGACCTCTGCAACTCATCCAGAATGCAGCGGCTCGTCTGGTCTTCAACCTTCCTAAATTCTCCCACACCACGCCGCTCCTCCGCTCCCTTCACTGGCTTCCAGTAACTGCTATAATCCACTCCAAGACACTGGTACTTGTGTACCATGCTGCGAATGGATCTGGCCCTTCCTACATCCAGGACATGGTTAAACTGTACACCCCAGCACGTGCACTCCGCTCTGCGTCAGCCAAACAGCTCGCTGCACCCGCACTGCGAGGGGGACCCAAGTTCCCATCAGCAAAAACACGTGGGTTTGCTATCCTGGCTCCAAAATGGTGGAATGAGCTCCCCATTGACATCAGGACAGCAGAAAGCTTACACATCTTCCGGCGCAGACTGAAAACTCATCTCTTTCGACTCCACTTCTTGCAATAAAATGACTAACAAAGCACTTATATACTAACAAAGGACTGGCTTATCTAAAGCCAGTTGAGTAGCACTTGAAATGTTTGGCTCTATGAAACCTGATGTACTTATATGATTCTGTTTTCTTCAAGTTTGTATCTTCTTGGTCGAATGCACTTATTGTAAGTCGCTTTGGAGTTAAAGCGTCAGCTAAATGCAATATAATGTGATGTAATGGAATAGCTGTCACCGTATTTAGAAATAAATAAATGAGTCATTATTCTTTCTTTTGGCAAGTTTGAAGACAAGAACATCAATCTTCCCTAGGCCTCACATGTCAATATTTACAACTTTTGAAAGTATTTCACCTTTTTTCTTGTTCCGTAAAATTCAGATTTAGGCTCATGCCATACTTTTCTGGGCATGTGGGTGGAAAGCAGGAAACTCAGGAAAAGCAAGTAAACCAGCACCTGCAAGCTTTTAAGACAAGAGACATAAACCATTTTGCGCTCGACAAATGTGTTAACGCCCGTTGATTCACTTTTAATTGGACAGGTTATCCAATAAAACCATTAATGCAAAATGTACCTGGAACTAGAATGCAGTTAACCCTGGGCTGTAGACGGAGGCTCTGACTTCCTGGATCTGATAGCTGGTGGTATCTGACAGGAGAGGAACACACCCATTAACAATATGGGCAACAACTTCTGTATCTACCACAGAATGTCCTCACAATACAATCATATGTAAACTACATAGCTTTATTTTACATGGGAGCGCCAAATATCACACATGTGTATGTATACAGGCTCAAATGCATGGTTACATATAGTAGTACTGAACGTTAATGCACCCAGTATCTGTGTATTGCACATGATTTCTTATGTGTTGGTTTTGGCTACATGTCCACAGTAGGTGTGGATGTTTGTTATCTACCTGAATTGAAGGCAGAGTATTCTTAATATATAACTAGTGGTAGGTGACACCCTAACCTGACCCAGATGACTCTTATCACTTTATATATATACACTTTGCAAACAAGCTTCAAACATAGTGTATGCCCATACAGAAGTAGAAGTTGTAAAAGTGTTAAAATGCCCTCGCAGGATGACAAGAAGAAGAAGAAAAAGAAGAAGAAGAAGAAGAACAAGGATGACCAGAGAGAGTATGTCTGGGACACTGTTATCCTATGTAAGTGGAATTTGCATTTTCAAACTGGTGTATTTATTCAGATGTTTTTAAATGAAATCTCATTAGTATAATACATGTTCAGGCTCTGTACATTCTGCTTTATAAAACCATTTATTCCAAATCATTTTCTCACTCTTACTTATATTGTTTGCATTTATTTCAAAACTTTAAAGAAAAGCATTTCTAAGGTGCTCTGCAAAAAAGTTTGCATTGTAACTTTGACATGCACATTCTGATATTAACTATCTTAAGTATTCCAAATTCTTAGTAGTTAACATATATCTAAAAAGTTAAGAAAACCTAATCAGTCTGATTATAAATTAGTTTTGTTTTCTAAAAAACTGAAATGGCATTTCCTTTTTAAATAAAGTTTACAGAGTTGTATTGCATAATATGAACAGCTGTGAGGCAGTTATCTGAATCAACAATTGTATTATAGAAATGTATTGACAATGCATGTACATATAAAATAAAAATGTAATTAAACAAATTATTGTTTTTTCTTGTGTTAACTTATCTCAGGTCACGATGATGAACTGGAGCCCAATAGTTCAGATAGTAGTAGGATGATAAGCAAGGTGAGAGATTTGCTAAAAGAAACTCTTTTAACACAAAGGTTGGCTTATAAATGTGTCGTTATAGATTGTTTTCCCTTTTTCTGCATCAGGACTTCAACTCATCGGATGACGAGGATGACAAGAAGAAAGACAAGAAGAAAAAGAAGAAGAAGGACAAGAAGAAGAAGAAAAAGAAGAAGAAGGTATTTACAATTGTCCATAATACAGAATATAAGAATTCATTACCGGTGCTATTGGACTACCAGACGTCTTTTAGTCAAAAGTAATGAAAACAAACATTTAACCTTCATGTTTTTAAATATTTATTTTTGCTTTCCAAGGATTGTTCTTCATCTTCATCTGACAGTTCATCGTCCGACAGCGAGGATGAAAAGAAAAAGAAGAAGAAGAAGAAGAAGACGAAGAAGACGAAGGTATGGTTTATTTCATACATACAGTTACAATATGAATATCGTGGGTATCGGCTGTCTGTATTCCTTTTAATAATAATAATACATTACATTTATAAAGCGCTTTTCCTGGTGCTCAAAGCGCTTACAAGCAAGTAAAACAAAAATAACAACAAAAGTAGAAAGTGCTAAGCCATGTGGAACAAGGGCAAGGGGTTAGTGGATTAGGAGTTGAAGGCAAGAGCGAAAAGGTGAGTTTTGAGGGATTGTTTGAATGATGTGAGAGTGTTGGCGGATCTGACATAGCTGGGGAGGGGGTTCCAGAGTGAGAGGGGGGGCTGCAGCGAAGGCCCTGTCACCCCAGGTCCGGAGCTTCGTCCTGATTGGCTGCAGTAGGTTAGCTTCAGCAGACCTGAGGCGACGGGGTGTGTGTGTGTGTGTGTGTGTGTGTGTGAGATACATAATAAGCCTTAAGTGTGCTCCATCACAGCGAGGTGATGTGATTATGATAAACTGCTGAGGATATGAAGAAACACGGGCAGAGGACAGGTGAGAGAGAGGGAGACTGACACAAAGATAGACACTGAAAGGAAAGGAGATGAGAGGAAGGTAGTAGAAACTGCCATGAAGGAAATGGGTAAAAGTAGGAAAAAGGTAGAGGGAAGATTTTCAATTGCATCTCTTTTTCACAGCTCTTCGAACCAGTATATCAAAGGAAGGAGGACTTGAGGCAACACACATTTGACAAATTGGATATGGCATTTTTGCTGTATCCCCTGACACAGTGCTTGTAGTCCAAAATAAACATATATGATACTGTCACTTGGTGGTGAGAGCACTCTTCTCCAAAACAAAAGCTAAAACTTAGGATTTGTAAGACTGACACTTCTTTAAGTACTCTTCCTGTAATTCAGTCACATTTTGAGTCACATCATCAACGTTGATCACCAATCAGATCAGATGCTATTATTTAATATTGCTAAAGCTCATTTGCAATTCTCCTCATAGTTTTCACGACAACCCTTTTTTACCCTTCAAAAATATACACTTTAATGGTTAACACAATGAGTGCGTTTGCATGTACATGAATAACCTGTTTTATGATCAATTGATGTAATATCTAGTATGAGTTTGCACATGTAAACACATGTTTTTTTCAGAAATCTTGATAGGGTTTCAGAGAAACCCTAATATATGAGCTGGAGTACTCAGAAATAAACCGGTCATAGTGACCATGAGATTTAATTGTTAGCTTTTGCCATTTGAAGCGGAGAAGATATTACATTTTAAAGTGGAAGAAAATGTAGAATGTAGGGATAAATATATCCTCACTGTTCTAAGCTCTAATATCCTGTTTGTTTTTGTATACATCACAATCCCTGCACATATAGAATTATCAATACAATAGAAAAGGATTATGGAATATGAACATAACGTTATTCTCTGGCTACCTGATGCACAGTCAAGCCTGCAAACCCATTACTGTAGATGAAGTGCCAGTGTCACAGTGATAAACAATTAAACGTGTTTATGGATGAAAGAACACAATAGATGTATGACACACGTGCTAGATGAATGTGTAATTGTTTTTTGACACTGGTACTCGAGCTTGGGTAAGAAAGCCTAGATAAGACCTAAATGGACTGGCTTACATTTTGTGACCAAGCGAAGATTCATTTTGAGGACAACATGAGATTATGAAATGTAGAAGCCTTTTTCTTTATTAAAAACTACTTAAAAGCAGCAGCAAAGGTGTATTGTGCTTATCGTGTTATTTAAGATTTTGACTTTTTTCATTTCAAAGTAGAATTACTCGAGGTTATTTGTTCAAGTTGTTATATCATCCTTTTAGGGTTACATCTGACATCCATATTTAAGATGTATTCAATTTAGAAGTTCCTGCAATGTTTCTTCTTTGCCACACATGTCACATTTTCCATTAAGAAAAATGAAGGACACAATTATCTTTGTAACTTCCTTACTTCACCTCTCTTCCATGTTCCATTTAACTAAGTGGAACATCCTTGAATATGAAATAAAAATAAGATTACTTAGCTATATGTTTATATTTAGCCCCTTCCATAAATGTAATATGCATGTCTTCCTGTGTGGCGTTAATGAAATATAAGAATACGATTATACCTAAAACATTTTATTGTCCAGTTTTGGGCTGATTCATGACTTGATTTTAAGAAAGATAGCCCAAAAGAGCAAAGAGGAATTTAGAATTAAGTTTTCATGAAAAATTATGCCAAACTCTAATATCTGTACTCTAAGTGCTGCTTCATCATTTTATCTTTCATTTATTTTTAAATCAAACCACAAAACATTTTTCTGGTGAATAGACAGAGCAGCACATGATGACCGTATGGTGGGCTACACGAAACATGTCCAAAATGCATATGTCATTACATTTGAATGTTCATATGCCACCTATCAACCTCACTCTAAAGCAGGGGTGTCAAACTCAATTTCATCTCGGGCCACATCAGCATTAGGGTTGCACTCAACGGGCCGGTTGTAACTTTAAGACTATATAAAAATAGATATAGAAATGTTTAATATATATAAAATAATGTATTATATTACATTATTGCCTCTGCATTGGATTATTATGGGATAGGGTAATAACTTAATAATTAACTACGTCTGAAAGCAGAAGTCTAGGGCAAATAATTGCAAGTCTCTTCAGTGAGAATGTCACAAAATGATTTATAAAGAAAAGCCAAATTCTGAAGAAATAAAATAAAAAAGTAACATTTTGAAAAAAAAGCAAATTCTAAGAAAAAGGCAAATTCTAAGAAAAAGGCATGTTTTGAAAAAAAAAGTCAAATTCTGAGGAAAAAGTCAAATGAGAGATGCATTGTGGGACATGTAGTTTATGGGCAACGTGCTTCTGTAAATCGGCATGTAATCGTACAATAGAGTGGCGAATTCACGCCCCTCTACTTCCGGTCCATGGGACCTTATTTCGGAAAAATAATGTATTGAAGTCAATGGAGAGAGAAAACGTATCTTTCGATCCCGTTTGAATTGTGCCATGAATTAAACATATGATGTTTGTCAATCTTAAAAAATAATTTCCATGTCAAAAAAGTCACAGTTTGTCGTAAAACTGTTGAAATATAAGACTATGAAAAATACGCAACTAGAAAGACTACAAATCCCAGAGTCGCGTAAGTGATGTCACCATTGTTTTCCTCCACTAAGAGATAGCTAAGATCAGCGCCATATAGCTATCTATATGGCGCTGGCTAAAGATAAGATAACTTTAACAAGATGCCTGTGTGCTTAGTAACCAGGTTTTTATCATAACCAGCAATGGTCTTCCTCTTCTTTCACTTCCCATCTGATGAAAGACCAGGAGTGGCTGGATCAATTAGCTATACCTAGCTAGTAGCTAGCACGTTAGTTCGCATTACGGCCTTGTCATTTTTATTAGCCTTAATATGAAGTAACATTAAGTAACCAAAATGTTAAACAGTTAGAGTAGTAGTCATATTTCGTGAACCCTTTGAAGAGTACTGTCACGCGGTGTGATCATTCTACAATACACAATTAAGCACGGGGGAGAAATGCTAACACTTAGGAATCGGCGATCCCCGATCTTTTCTACTTCATGCTATCTGCACAAATGGTTGACATTAAACATTAAAAAGACAGGCAGTTCAGAGAGAATCAAAGGAAGGCAGGCAGCTTTGGCATGACATTCTTCTGGACGTGTTTCATTGTGGTGATAGTGAGGGTAGTCAATCGTTTTGGTTGACAAGACAGATAGTGACGGCCATCCTTGGTGACGTGTGCTGTTCTGCACACATTTACAAAACATATGTGTAATTCGTGGCACAATTCAAAGGGGATCGAAAGATAATCTTCCTCTCTCCATTGACTTCAATACATAATTTTTCCGAAATAAGGTCCCATGGAGGCCACCGGAAAAGGGGAGGGACTTCGCCACTCTATAAACATATTATATTCTTTCAGAGCTCTTGTGGGGCCACAGAAAATGAAGCCGCAGGCTGGATATTGGCCCCCGGCCTTGGAGTTTGACACCCCTGCTCTAAAAAGAAACAGATGCAACCCTAACTCCCTACAAAACTGTAAACATTTTACTGAAGTGCCCAATATGAAATGAAATCCAAAAAAAGCTAATCTTAATTTACATTTTGGGGCATTTATCCCTAAATAAGTACATCAGAAATCCAACACACAAATTAACTAGCGTCTCTTGCTCACTAATCTGGACACACATTGCTTGTGTTGTGTTTCAGAATCCTTCTGCGAAGCAAGGAGTCAGACCAGGCAATACAGTTATAATAAAGCGATTTATTTCAGTTGTGAAAAGGATATAATTGCTCAGCACTGAGGTCTCTGGGAGATCAGTGATCCACAGACCCGCGGAGCAGTTTCCACTCCAAGCAGTTAACTGTCTCACACTTCCTTCCAGAGCCCCGAAAACCTAACCTACCAAAACACATTTCATATACTTATTACAGTTAAAAGGTGTCATATTCTGATTGGATATGTGTATTTCTGAGTCAGGTGCTGTCGATTGTTGATTGGAGTACAGGCGAGCCCAACGCGCACGCCCTCTTGGCTTCCAGGTCCGACAGTCCAGGTCTTCTTTCCAAGGTCATCCAGGCCCTACACTAATACTGACTGTCTGTTCTCCTGTCACGTGCAAGCTATGATCTGCCCTTGGCTGGCACTGGCCGGTCCCTCTCCTGAACCTCAGCGATAACTCACAATAGTGCACAATCTAAATAAAAGTAGCAGGAAGTGCAGTTCCTCCTTATGGTTTGCTCACCACTAACACTGTCAAAAGCTCACTTTCTTCATAGTAAGACCTTCTGGTACACATTATTCATAAACATTCCTTTATGAGCAAGCAATAATATTCTTCACTTGTAACCTCAAAAGGTTGAATAGAGGCACAACTTCATTTAAAATTCATGTTCTATGAAGCCTCCGGTTCAATGAGCCTTCAGATCGAAAGTATTTAAACAAGTTGGTTTCATCTGTAGGAATCTACCATAGAAGTTGTTGGTGCTTTTGGATCAATGTTTATTGAGGTTTACAAATTTTTCCCGCACGATGTGACGGCTGAGGGTCAAAGTGATAGCATCTCCCTCGTTAAAAGCTGTCGTCTTGAACTATGTGCTATCGTTGTTTGATTAGTTAATTAGTGGATGATTACTGATGAGCGGATAAATTCTATGTGTGTGTATGTGTGTGAGCGATATATCTGCAGGATAGTGAACAGATATTTTTCTCCTATTTACTGTCATTCTGTTTTTAGTAGTTTAGAATTATAATTGTATAATATCCTGTCATCCCATTCCTATCTGTGTGTGTGTGTGTGGTGTGTGTGTGGTGTGTTGTGTGTGTGTGTGTGTGTGTGGTGTGTGTGTGTGTGTGTGTGTGTGGTGTGTGTGTGTGTGTGTGTGTGTGTGTGTGGTTGTGTGTGTGTTGTTGTGTGTGTGTGTGTGTGTGTGCGTGTGTTGTGTGTGTGTGGTGTGTGTGTGTGGGGATTAGTAAGATATTTCCTGGGATCAGAGGGGAAGATGTAGCTTCGCTAAGGACCAGCTAGTCCCCTCTGCTGGTGGATACATCTCTGCCCCTGCGCAGCAACCACACACACCACGCACACGCACCAGGCACACGCACACCACACGCAGCACGCACACACACACACCTCACACGCACACACAGCAATATGCCCCGGACGCCTATAATCCACAAGCTCCATAACCATCGATTTCACGTCTCAAACGCCTTCACCAGCAAGGGGAAGGAGAATAAA